TATGCAAATAACCAAAGGGAGCTAGAGTGGATATATTAATATCAGAAAACAGGGACTTGGGTTTCTACAATGGTGGTAGAAAGGCAAGCTGGCTTCATCTTTCCCCTTTACACCATCCCACAGAGAAAAACAAAAACATATATACAGTGCTGAGATTTTTCATCAGCAATATCCCAGAGCTCAAGTGTAAGCATGAGACAGTTCCCAGGACCACAGACAAATGGAAAAATTCTGAGAAGATAGAAGGAGAACTGGACCTCCACATCTGTGATGCCTCCCCCCTCCATTCTGCCCAGCACCAAGCACACAGAAAATCTCCCACTTCACGTTTTCTATATTGGTAAGGTGAAACTGAGGTGGTCAGTCAGCTACTCCACCTTCTTGGGTTCCCTGGCAGGAGATTTGTTCTTGCCTTAATCCACAGGAAGCATCATGACTATCTGAAGGGAGAAATATCCCTGAAGACAGAGACAAAGGGGAGAGGTAGGTGTTGTCCGCCCTGGAAAGTCTGCTCTATAATTCAGCCAAAGAGGACATCGCATCAGAGTGGCTGTTTGGAAGCACCATGCTGTAGGATGTGTGTCCCTCTGGTCTCCTGAGCATGAACTCCTAGCCAGCCTTCCCACACTGCCAGAATAATCCTTTTGGAGCCTCTTCACTTGGGACAGGCAGCACTTGAACCATTTACTAGAGCCAAAGCAAACCTGAACTTAAGGCACCACCTAGAGCTAAAAAGGAGATAGTGACCTAGCAATAAAGAGTCACTAAGTAAATATATTTAATAAAAACCAAAACAGTTTGGACAAAGAAAACTGGAATAAATAACTAATCCTTTGATGCAAGACACAGGCCTACACCCACAAGAAACAACCATAAACAGGGAACCATGTCCTCCCCAAAAGAACAAAGCAAAAACCTAGTGACTGACCCTAATGAGTTGGCAGTTTGTGAGGTCTGTGACCAAGAACTCAAAATAACAATTTTAAGACAACTCAGTAATCTCTAAGATAAAGAAAACCAATTCAGAAATTTATTAGAGAAATGTAATGAAGATATTGAAATAATAATAATGATAACACAGAAATCTTGGAACTGAGAAATACACCTGGTGAACTGAAGCATTCTTTATTGGCTCTCAATAGGAGGATGAACCAAGGAGAGGAGATAGTTTGAAAACTGGCTATTTGAAAATAGACATTCAGAGGAGAAAGAAAGAGCAAAGAATGAAAAGAAATGAAGACTGCCTACAGATATAGAAAATCACCTCAATAGACCAAATTTAAGAATCGTTGGTGTTCAAGAGGGAGCTGAGCAAGAGCAAGGGGTAGATGCGTATTTAAATAAATAATAAGAGAAAAATTTCCAAAACTTGAGAAAGATAAAAATATCCAGGTACAGGAAAGTCTTAAAACACCAAACAGATTTAACCCAAATAAGACTATCCCAAGACATGTAACAATCAAAAAGCAATAGACTTTAAGACAAAGATTGTTACGAGAAACAACAAATGACATTATATAATGATGGAAGGATCAATCCATGAATATAACAATTATAAAGAGGTATGCACTCAGCAACAGAGCTCCTAAATGCATGAAAGCAAAACTGACATACTTGAAGGGATAAATAGACAGTCCGACAATAATAGCTGTAGACTTCAATAGTCCACTTTAAATTATGGATAGAACATCTATATAGAGGATCACCAAGAAAATAGAAGACACAAACTGTAAACCAACTAAACCTAGCAGACATTTATGTGTAGTAGAGCACTCCACCCAACAACATTCTTCTCAAGTGCACACAGAATGTTCTCTAATACAAGTCAGGCCATAAAACAACTCTAAATAAACTTTAATTAGTGGTTCGGCGCCTGTAGCACAGTTGTTACAGCTCCAGCCACATACACCAAGATTGGTGGGTTCAAATCCGACCTGGACCAGCTAAACAATAATGACAACTGCAATAAAACATAGCTGGGCATTGTGGTGGGTACCTATGGTCAGCTGGGAGGCTGAGGCAAGAGAATGGCTTACACCCAAGAGTTTGAGGTTGCTGTGAGCTGTGATGCCATGGCTCTCTACTGAGGGTGACATAGTGAGACTGTATCTCAAATAAATAAATAAATAAACAAAATTTAATAGTTTAAGTCATACCAAGTTTGGTTTCATACAAAGTGAAATAAAATCAGAAATCAATAACAGAAAGAAATCTGGGGAATTCACAAATATGGTTGTAATTAAATAACATACCTTGAAATAACCAATGGGTCAAAGAAGAAATCATAAGGTAGGTTAGAAAATATTTTGAGATGAATGAAGACTAAAATACTTATGGGATGTAGTGAAAGCAGTGCTCAAAAGGAAATTTATAGTTGTAGCCACCAGTGTTAAGAAAGAACAAAGACAACAAAGTAATAATCTATCCTTCTACTCTAAGAAATTGGAAAAAGAAAATCAAACTAAATCCAACGTAAGAAGAAAGATTATAGGGGAGATAAATGACAGACAGAGAACGAGCAAACCCAAAAGCAGATACGTTGAAAACATCAACAAAATTGACATATCTTTATCTGGGCTGAACAAGTGAAAAAGAAGACTCAAATTACAAAGAAGATTCAAATTACTAAAATCAGAGATGAAGGTGGGGACATTACTACTGACTCACAGAAAATTTTTCAAAGGATTATAAGAGGATACTATGAACAACCGTATGCCAACAAATTAGATAACCTAGATGAAATGAACAAATTCCTAGACACACAATCTACCAGAAATGATAGAAAGATAAATAGGTCAGTAACAAGAAATTGAATTAGTAACTAAAAACCTTCAAAGAAAAACACAGGACCAGATGGCTTCACTAGTGAATTGTAACAAGATTTTAAGGGATTAACACTCTTATTTTTTCTCAAACTCTTCCCCAAAAAAGGACAGGATGAAATACTTCTTGACTCATTTGGTGAGGTCAATATTATTCTGATACCAAAGCCAAAGACATCACAAGAGTTTGCTCATTCTCTCTATGTCATTTATCTCTCCTGTAATCTTTCTTCTTACTTTGGATTTAGTTTGATTTTCTTTTTCTCATTTCTTAAGGTGGAAGGATAGATTACAAGAAAACAACAAATCCTTAACAAAATACTAGCAAACCAAATCCAGAAGCTTATGTAAGGGATTATATATACCACGGTCAAGTAGGATTCATCTCAGAATTACAAGGATGGCTCACCAGTTGAAAATTAATCAATGTACTACACCATGTTAAAAGACTAAAGAAAAAAATCACATAAGCATCTCAATTGATGTAGAAAAAGCATTTGAAAATATCCAGGACCCTTTCATGATTAAAAAACACTCAACAGCTGGGCATGGTGGCTCATGCCTATAAGCCTAGCACTCTGGGAGGCCAAGGTGGGTTGATTACTTGAGCTCAGAAGTTCAAGACCAGCCTGAGCAAGGGCAAGACCCCCATCTCTACTAAAAATAGAAAAACTAGCTGGGTATAGTGGCACATGCTTGTAATCTGAGTTACAAGGAGGCTGAGGCAAGAG